ATATAAATATGTTATGGTAAAATCGGATCACTTTTTTCCTCATGTTGTCTTGAGTTCACCTGCAGGGAGGGAGTCATGATGCAGCCAGGCACAACACTTCAGGCGGCTGCCAACAGTGAAAATGATTGCAGTGTAAATGCATAATGCTATTAAGTAGCTTTATATTTGCCCACGGGTGTTTTTAGCTTATCCTTGCCATCATCAGAACTGGTTTCCCCCGTTCTTTTTCACACACTCTCTTATGGAGCAGAGAGAATTTGTCAGATTATCACTGCGGTTGTTTGGGAGCTGGCAAATCTTATTTCGTAGGAACCCATTCAGTTGGCTCTTAGCAGCAGGGAACATGGATTCAGCATTCAGACGACAAACCCAGACGGGCGTAGTATGTCAGACTCATCAAAAAATCACCATGTGAAAATCCTTCTTAGTCAGACTGGTGAACATACTGTACTGTCATTACATACATGTCAAGTTGTATGGATTGTCAGCAAGTTACACAGATTCTCCCCCATTTTTGCTGGTATCCAGATGAACAAAGAAATCCCACAGACATTTCAAATCACACATATTTCATTTTCAAAGATTCAGCTTCAAATTTATTTTCCCTCTCGGAACCTGTAGGATGTAAATAAGCCAGAAACAGTAAATGAAATTAAATAACCCTCTCCCAACTTGCTCTGCCCCTAGAAATAAGTTTGACACGTCTCCCCATCCTCCTTTCCCTTCTCCTCTGCGCTGCAGCTGCTTTCATTTCTGCTCCATGTTGTGTCTTTCCCTACAATTGACCGACCATTTGTCATTTAACAACCCACACACACACACTTCATTCCCACCCATGTTGAATTGTGTGTGAGAAATACGTATTTTTTTGTGAAAACTACAGATTTTTGAGGGTAAAGATGCAGGTAAGTGTCCGAAGGGGTTGACATGTAAGCATTTGGGTTTGCTCAGTGGTGGGCACAGTTCCCCTAAAGCACTAATAGGGGAACTAATTTCCTGATTAGTGCTTTAGGGATTTTGCTAATTTTAAAATTCATTAGTGAATTAGCACTTACTAAATTTATAGGCTAAATTTAGAAGCACTAAGTGAGGTCCATAAATGTTATTGATCAATGCTAATGTTAACAGCTGACGGTGAAAGCTGTCACACATTTTGTTCATATGTGTGTCACTTATCCACTAGGTGACAATATATTGACAATATACTGTATGAACTCAAATACAGCTGTGGAATGTCAATGATAAGTCTTAAGAGAGCAACATGGCAATACGTGACTAATGTTGTCTGTTGAAGAATGTTAATGGTTTGATTGGGTTATTTTAGTGCTTTAGAATTAGGTTATCCTAATTTTTTAGTGCATTAGTGCTTTAGAATTAGGGGACCTAAATATATGAGTCAGTGTTTAAGGGCTAGTGGTAATAATTTTTAGATTAGTGCTACCCACTACTAGGTTTGCTAAATAGCTTCCTTGATATGCTAACTTACTTTGATGACTCAAACAGATTTTAGTTTTCTTTTTGGTAACAAACTTTTCTCATTTGGTTATAAAAATAGACATCAGTAATTAAGTACAATTTTTAGAAATTTGAAGTTGAGATTTTCAAAAAATCACACAAAAAAGGAACTCAAAGGGAATTCCTTTTTTTCTTTTCCTTTTTTTGGCACATAAACCAAATATACATCAAAACAATAGGATTTTAGTCTTCTGTCACTCAGTCCATCTCTTCCAGTTATCGGACTTTCTCTTAAATTCAACCAAAATTTCGACTGTACACACACAAATCTCTCTGGACTACAGTTTGTTATATTGTCCTGTCCTGTCCTGTCCTGTATCCTACATAAAACAGTGTAAGAACATAATTCACATTTGAATACACATTTATGTTCTTTTTGCCTGCCTCTAATTAACTTTGCAGTCAGAGTGACAGACACGTGTATTGTCACCATGGTGACATTAATGTAATGAGCCACCAGCAGTAGTTTTAATGTTTCTTTTTATCTTTGTTCTCTTTGCACTTTTTATGCAGCGTGTCCATTTAAATGTAGGCCTTTTTCTTTCTTATTTCAAGTCATTACACAGTTGATGTTGGCATTTTATGCATTCGCTGCCTTGGCATTTTCAGAATTTCTTCAGACGTTTTCTAGTTTATTCTGTGAGTCTTTGTTTGCTTGTTTAGTGTTGCAACACTAGACAGATATTTCTATGTTAAATAACAAATATAGTTTGCTGACTTTCTCATCTCCAAAGAGAAAGGGTGGAAATGTTTTTTTTTTTCTTAAAATTTCTCTAGGTTTGATATTTTTATAGTTTATTTTGTTTCTATTTTTCCCACCACTGTAAATATAAAGTGTTTGTTTGTTTTTTGACCAAGATGTGTTTGTTCCTACACTTTGTTTCTTGTATTCATTCTTCATTCCAATCTTTGTGAGTGCTAATTCTTGTTTGGATTTTGCCTGAGAAGTCATCTTCAAACATATATTTTTTTCCCTAATCTACAGATATATTAATTCTTTTTTTTTCTTCTGTGTGTTTCGTAATTACAACATAGTAGTATTGCCAAACAGCAGACTGTATGAAGTTGGGATGACTGTCAACAAACTTGAATGAAGTTTATCATTTGCATTGCAAGATAATTGCAGTATCAAACAGAATCAAATTGTGTGTGTGTTTATTTCCCAGCATTTTTTCCCTATTGTAAATTAAGCTTTATTCAGACATTATTAAAGAGTTCCATATTATTAAATGTTGTCCTTTTTATTGCTGTTTGTTCTAGAAACAAACAAACAAACAAACAAACAAACAAACATTCTGGAGCTCCAAGTCAACGTTCTGTTTTAATATCAGTGAAAAAATGAGACTGGAATGTGAGAATGGTTTTGGCTTGGCTGCATCACTGAAGCTTACAGGGCTTTGCTCATGAAAGCTTTGTAAATATGCTAGGCATTAGAACAAAGCTTAGCTCTAATGGTTTCTGCGTTGGCCCTAACAGATGCTGTTTACATGCAGGAAATTTCTGTGCTGACTGTTTTGAGAGATGTTATTTCTTTTGTTCTGACTATCTAACTTTTTTGTCTATCATTGATATGTATGAATAAATAATCCGTGTCCCAGTGTAATGATTTTACCATTTTAGCTACGAGACCATTAGCAGTTAAGGATTTTCAATTTTTTGTTAAGTGTGTCTGGTCACCAAACTGTCAAACAAGATAAGTTGTACTGGTGCAATCCGGGTTTTTTTTGTTTGTTTGTTTTTGTTTTTTTTTAGTTCAACATTTAAGATTTAGTTACTTGAAGCAATAAAAGTTGCACCAGTCACATTTCAAGTGCATTAAATTTTAACATTAATTATTAACCTTGCCGAGGGTACGTAATTCTTTTCTTTCTCCTCAGGCTACAGATCCTGATGCTGGAGCTAATGGCCAGGTTTACTACCGAATTGTCAATCATCCTGACTTGTTTGTAATCAATGCTAATGGAAGCATCTACACAAGAGTGCCTCTGGACAGGGAGTTAAGGAGCGACTATGAGCTGGTCATTGAAGCCTCGGATGGGGCAGTGGATCCGAGGCGGACTACGCTGACGGTCACGGTCAAGGTTTTGGATATAGATGACAACAGTCCAGTCTTTTCCCAGGAAATCTATATGGTGAATGTACCTGAGAACACTCCTGTGGGAACTGTAGTTCTGAAACTAAGTGTAAGTTTATTTTCAAGTCAATGTATTTATTATTTATTTATGTATTTTTTGCTATCATTTAGAGATGATCAGATCACATTGTATTCCATCCATCCATCCATCCATTTTCTGTACACGCTTCTTCCTTTTCAGGGTTGCGTGGGTCACTGGTGCCCATATCCAGCAGTCACRGTGYRAGGGGCAGGGTACACCCTGGACAGGTCGCAAGTCCATCACAGGGCCACACATAGAGACAAACGAGACAAACAACC